GAGCACATTTGATAACTAAAGGAATTGATACGTCATATGTACGGTGGGTGTATCACGGTGAAGAAGAATCTGATGATGAAGGTGCGGGTAATGAAGAGTTTGAAAATGATGAATTTGATGGGTTGAGAGCAGGGCTGCATGATGCATTTGGTAATCAATATTTTGATATTGGGGATACCACTGAATTTCTTACAAATCAGCAACCCATGGCAGAAAAATCTCATTATGAAAAACTATATGAAGCTCTGGATACCCCGTTATTTGTAGGATGTCATACATCCTCTGTATTGACATTCGTGGTAAAATTGATGAATATAAAGGTGATGAATAAGTGGAGTGATGGTTCCTTTGAAATGTTGTTGAAGCTACTACGTGAAGTGCTCCCACAAAGCAATAATTGTCCACAAAGCTATTACGAAACTAGGAAGCTACTTTGTGACGTGGGTTTAGGTTACGAACTTATTGATGTTTGCAAATACGATTGTGTGTTGTTCTATGGTGATCATAAGAATGATGTCACATGTCCTATATGTAAATGTAATCGATATGTTCGTAATAAGATTCCACATAAGAGGCTGCGGTATTTCCCGGTGGGACCTCGACTTAAACGTCTGTATGCTTCACGTCAAACGGCAAGACACATGCGCTGGCATAAAGAACTGCGCAAGGAAGAGCCAGGAGTTCTGCGTCATCCGGCTGATGGGAAGGCTTGGAAGCACTTTGATGAGTTATATCCAGATTTTGTTGCAGACTCGAGAAATGTTAGAATGGGGTTGGCCTCTGATGGGTTTAACCCATTTAGTAATATGTCAACATCACATAGTTTGTGGCCAGTAATTTTGATGCCTTATAATATGCCGCCTTGGAGTATGATGCATAAAAGTAACTATCTTTTAGCATTATTAATTCCTGGTCCTAAGTCACCTGGTAAGGATTTTGATGTGTTTCTAAGGCCTCTTGTAGATGAACTTAAAATTTTATGGACAGATGGGGTTGAAGCATATGATGAGTATTCTAAATCAAATTTTACTCTCCGGGCAGCAATTCTATGGACTGTAAGTGAGTTCCCCGCTTATGCTTACTTGTCTGGATGGAGTACTATGGGAAGAATGGCGTGTCCTGTATGCCTCGAGGACACCAGATGGAAACGAATTCGAGGAAAACAATGCTATACAGGGCATCGATGCTTTCTAAGTGATACACATAGCTGGAGAAAGAATAGGGGATTTGATGGCAAGCCAGAGAGAAGAGGACCGCCTCGAGAATTTTCTAGAGATGTCATTTTACAACAGCTAAAGGAGGTTCATAATGCAACACCTGGAAAAGCTACGAACAATAAAGATAAGAAACGCAAACGTGGTGCAAATGAATTGAATTGGGCCAAAAAGAGCATCTTGTTTGAACTCCCTTATTGGTCGAAATTGTTGATGCACCATAATCTTGATGTAATGCATATAGAAAAGAATGTATGCGATAATATTGTCGGGACCTTATTGAATGATCCTCTAAAGTCAAAAGATACTTTGAACGCACGTCTTGACTTGGAAGATCATAACATTCGCAAGGAGTTGTGGTTGAGGGAACGAAATGGTAAATTTGAAAAACCACATGCTAAATATACCTTGACTAAAGATGATTGTAAGGAGTTTTGCAAGTTTATCAAGTCTGTTCTCCTTCCAGATGGTTACGCTTCCAATATTAGTCGATGTGTCACAGATGCAAATACACTTGGAGGAATGAAAACTCATGATTGTCATGCATTGCTTCAAAAGATATTGCCAGTGGCGATTCTTGCATTCCTCGATAGGAAAATACGTATCACACTAATAGAGTTCTGTCAATTCTTTCAGAAGTTATGCGCAAAGACCTTATATGTTGGCGAACATGAGGACATGAAAACACTGGGATTGTGATCATATTGTGTAAACTTGAACAAATTTTTGCGATGTCCTTTTTTACAATCATGGTTCACTTGTGCGTGCATTTACCAGAACAAGCATTATTGGGTGGTCCAGCTCCTCCTAGATGGATGTTTGGAATTGAACGGCGCATGGGTACTTATAAGGGATATGTGCGTAATTATGCTCGGCCTGATGGATCTATTGCTGAAGCTTACGTGGTCGATGAGGCTATTACATTCTTATCTCGATATTTAACTGATATTGAAACAAGATTTACACGCCCAGAGCGCAATTGGGACCTCTCTAGTGAAGACTATAAGATGGACGTGTTTAACCACAAAATACGAACACTTGGAGCTCCTAAATTTGGAAATCTAGGATTAGATGGGAATGTGGTGCAATGGTACCTTCTTAACAATTGTGGAAGTGAGCTCGACGATTACATAAAGTGAGTTTTCCATTATAATTTCATTTGTAGTTATTTTTAATTTATTTGATATTATAAGTAATTTATTTTTCACTTTAGAGAGCATAAGGAACTTATTTGCTTGACAAGCTCACGTGCACAAGAATGGGACAATATTCACAAACGTGAATTTCCTGCTTGGTTCAAGAAAAAGCTAAAACCTATATATTAAGTATATAAGTATAAATCAACTTTTTTTTTTAATTTTAACAATTTATAATTTTAATATTCGGGTTTCAGATGGCTATACTTAGAGTAAATGGTGATCCGATAGCTAGTGATGATTTGTATTCCTTATCGCAATTACCGGATGATCATTACACAATTTGGCAAAGTTATATAGTCAATGGTGTTAGATTTCGATGGAAAGAACGTGATGACAAGTTCAAGACACAATGTAGCGGAGTATGCACTGGAGATGATAATGGTGATACCATTTATTACGGTGTATTACTTGAAATTTTAGAACTTGATTTCATCCTTGGAAGGAAGGTTTTCATGTTCCGTTGCAAGTGGTATAATACTGATCCAAAGGGGAGAACAATGGTGGTTAATTATAAACTGACATTTGTTGACACATCATCCCAGTGGTACACCGAAGATCCATTTATTTTGGCCACACAAGCTCAACAAGTGTTTTATTTAGATGATAAAGCTTGAGGCAAGAATTGGATGGTTGTACAAAAAGTAAATCATCGTTGCATATATGATATACCAGAGCATGATGCTAATGTGGATGCTAGTGATGACATATTTCAAGAGGAAGATGCTAGTGAGTTACCATCTTTTCATCCAATAGAAGAAATTGATGACACACCTCTTTTAGTTCGACAAGATGTAGAGCCAATGGCATTACCGAATAAGGTTGTCCAACAAATGCGGGATCAAACGTCAATGCATATCCAAAATGAAGATTCTTTAGAAGATGTTGAAGATTAGGACCCTGACGATGGAGAGCTTTTCTTTCACAATGAATTGATATTAGAGTCTGAGAGTGACAAAGACTTTGATGCATTAGAACTAAATATCAGTGACGATGACTCCATGGCATGACATAAATTTAGTCTTAGGTTATTTTTGTTTGAACTTATTCATATGTATATATCATAGTTTCACTGTGGCATGATTTTAATTCTTTGTTGAATCTTTGTTGCAGGTTTCCCATGGCTAGTTCTAAAAGAGGTGGATATGGTGCACAAGTTGTACGTAGTAGGATTTCTGTTGAAGATCAACATGCTACTGAAGAGCTTCGATCAGGTTAAGTAAATCAGTGTTTCTATTAATTAATAACATTTGTTATTTATCTCTCATGAGTTAATTTTCAAAATATATAGTTCATTCCCTAAGAGACACTCAAGTTTCAACAAGAGGTGGGTGTAGGAGGAATCCAATAGGACATAGATCTGCATCAGAAGAGTTTCAAACGGGTCATTTATATCAATAACTATCAACTGTACATTTACTCTCTTGGATTATTTAAAAAGATAATTTCTTTTGGTTGCATGATTTAGAATAACAAGATTACTGTGGTTGCCTCAAAGTAATTATTGATTCAAGATATAAGTACTTATCTCCAACATCAAAAAAATTTATATCAATACTTTATTTTAATAATTCAATGTTCCTTATAATGTAATTAAATAGCTCATTCTCTAAGAGACACTCGAGTTTCAATGAGAGGTGGACGTAGCAGTATTCCAATTGCAGATGAACCCGCAAGGAAAGAGATTCAAGTAGGTTAAATTAGTTATATCAATAATTAGACAATTTGAACACTTCTTTCATATAGGTTACCACGACATTAATAGTTATGAGATGTGACATGTTGTTTTGTTTGATATTTACATCTTTATATTTAGTGTTTTTTGTGAACTCAATGGCATGTGATATAACTTAATAGCATATAGTTTTTGGTAAACCAGTTGTGTTACAAGCAATAAATCTCAAAGGCTTTTTAATTTTCCCAATAAAAGAACTGAAGTTATGAAAAGAAAATTAAAAACTGAAATACTTAATGTCTTGAAAATAGAAACTGGATTTTTATGGAAATATTTATGCAGAATAAAAACTTTTACATTCTCCTAGATAAAAAAAAAAGACTTTAGATTGTTAGATTGTAATTTAAATCTAATATAATTTTATTTACAGACCAAACTCAAAGCGGCACTCAAGTTTCATCTGCCAATAATGATACCGCAGAACAAGGTTCAAATGTGCGTGGAATAACATGCAGTAAAGGTGCCCGGAAAGAAATGAGGAGTGCTAAATCACGATTGACAGTAAAGTTTGACTTTGACCTTATGCAAGCAATATGTGACAACACAGAGGTTTTCAATAATGAAGTTGGATATATCCTGCGTACGTATTGCGACCTTAAGTACAAAGAATGGAGGTTTGTACCTGAAGAAGAAAGAGCACCACTTCGTGACAAATTTCGAGTAAGTATACATGAAGACTCACACTACAAACTTCTTGTATGTTATGCAGACATTATTTAATGTTGATTTGGAAGATGCAAATGTCATAAAAGCTATTGATAAACAAATGCAAAGAGCTTGGCATAACTATAGACGTACGTTACGTGAACATTTTAAAACAGTTGGAGGTGCAGGTGATCTGATGAAGGCAAAGAGTAAGCCTTATGAGGGTGTTAGCGAATCGGATTGGGAATATCTATGTAATTGTTGGAGCGACCCTTCATATCTGGTAAGATGTTTTATACCTAAAGATATGCTGGCGTTAATGAATTTTAATTTTTTTTTAACAAAGTATATTTAAGTCTTAAAGCTTACTGTAGTAGTAAACGTAGTGAATAGGAGTTTCTTTGCTATAGCATGTTTCGTAGTTTATTTTGAGAAAAACAGCAGGATGCATCATTTATACATTATTGTTGATATTTATAATCATTACTTGTGTTTATTTTATAGCAAAAAGCTTTGAAGAATGCTGAGTCATGTAAGAAAAGAAAATGGATTTCTAGAAACGGATCTAAAAGTACAGCACGCCATCACATTAGTCGTGGGGTTGACTTAAATGCTCCTGTTGGTCATATTGAGACGTGGCGTCTCCGTCATTGGCATCCAGAACGTGGTTGGGTATCTGTAGAAGCTGAATCTAAATATGTAAGTGTACTTCACAGACCGTGTGTGTTAACCACGGCATCTTTTATTCAAATTAATTAGTTTTACATTATTGACATTATGACATATATATATACATGCATGTTCTGATGTTCACAGTTTACCTGATTAATGAATTGTTACTATTCCATTCATAATTTAACAGGAAGAAATTATGGAATTGAGAAGAGAAAAATCACCTGAAGATTTAACTGATAAACAAATATTAGAGAAGGTGCTTGGACGAGAATCTGTTCGTCTATTTGGTTGGGGACGGTCTCCCACTGGGTCCAAAAGAAGCAAAGGTGATTCAAATATTCCAACTTATACTCAATTGATGGATCGTGTTGGAGAACTTTCAGGCACTGTTGAAATGATGAAAAAGTTGTTGATTGAGAAGAATATTATGCCTCCCATGTCACATGTTCCTTCAGATCATTGTTCAGTACCGCTTAATCGTGGGTCATCCTCTATTGATCGAGGCCAGCATGTTGACGGTTATGAGGACTCTACTTCTGAATATGATAATATTGTTTAGAAGCAAAATTCATATTAGACTTAATACTTTGTAGTGCGGCACCAGCTAGTTAATGTTTTATTTTGTTTGGCAGTTTTTGATTAGCTAATACTTTGTTGAAATTGAATATTTTAGTTTGAACTATGACATTTATCTTTATAATATATTATCCATTCCCGTGTTCCTATTACAAAACGTAATTGTTTGATATGTGTATTTAATAAATAAATATAATATTTAATGAAATAGTTTTACCCACTTTTATTACCCACTTTTAAAATACAATTTACCCACACATACACATAACTTTTACCCACACATCTTTATGTCCATGTGGCAACGGCTAAGATTCATCAGTTATGCCACGTCATTATCCACGTCACACCTAAATTGTCATGTCACAAGCCACATCATCAGCCACGTGTACTTCCACGTCATATGCCATGTCACGGGTTATTTGCTGAAATGATCGACCAAAAACAACACATTTAGAAGTGTTTTAGCTACGCATACATGTGTAGCTATAAATAATAATATTACCCACACATAATTGGAAGTGTAGCTAATAACATTTGTCTACGTTTCCGTACCCACACATCGTAACACTTATAATATGTGTGGGTAAAGATTATTACCTACACATATATAATGTTTTACCAACACATACGAGTGTGGGTAAATAACCTATTTTCTTGTAGTGAAATAATTTATTTTTTAAACTTACGCAATCATTAACTTTGAAATTTTAATTTTTTTATTTGACTGGAAAAAGAGTTTGTAAGTCGATCATGTTGTAATATAATTTTGGGAAATAACAATATTAAAAGTTATGTCAGTACGTTTTGCTGTTAATTGTGCATATATATATGATGGAGTATATGGGTCTAAGCCCCCGGACCCACATACTCGGAAGAACAGAAAGCACAAGACAACAGAGTGGCGCCCTCGTCGGCCAAGACGCCCCCGTCGGCCGAAAAGGAGCCAACTCGGATTATGGTCCTGAGCCCAAGGAACCCGGGTGCCCTCGTCGGCCACGCCCTCGTCGGTCGTGCCCTCGTCGGCCACGCCCTCGTCGGCCAAGAAGACCTCCCAGAATCAGATTTTACACTTACTCATTTGTACAGCCCATTAGTGGCTTTGTATTCGGCCCAGTAGCGGTCCAGTTGTAAATGGGCCTCCCAAGCCCAAGGCTTGGGAGCCCAACCCTAATTTTCTCTATAAATACTCCCCTTGGGAGTAGTTATAGGGGTTACAAAATCATTCTATTGAAGCATATTATTGCACTTCTCTCTCTAGCTCTCACTTCTCTCTAGATATACTCTATCATTTGGTGCTCTCGTTGAGAGCTAGAACAATCAAGTTAGCACCCTTCGTCGCTACCAAGCACAGCTAACCACTGATCATGGGGAGAACTAAGTCAAACCGCAACCTCGTCAGCAAAGCCATCCCTGAGGACCAAGAGCCCAGGGAGCACGATGAGGACGCCACGGCCGACCAGGTCGGCGGAGGGGACCTCTTCCAGGAGGCCTTCAACCTCACAACGGACCTCCGCAACCAACTCAATGGCGGAGCCCCTGATGCCCGCCTCGGCTTGGACAAGAAGCGAGCTGAAAAGACGGATCACGCCCCGGCCCAGCCTATGGCCGCGACCTCTCCGTCCGTGGATCCGCAGGTCCAGGCCGCGCTATCGGTCATCATCGCCAGCCTGGTTCAGAACCCCACCGTCCTCAGCGCACTCTTGCCAAGGACCGGGGGAAACGTCACTCCACCTCCTCATCCCCAACCGTTGGCCGTCCAGATAGGCAACAATGAGGGGGTTATGGCCCAGGATACGGCGTCGTCCCACTCCCACCCTGCTTCCCCTCTTCGGCCCGGGCAGACCCCAGCGCGTGGAAAAGCCTCTGCCTTCAATAGGCTAGGTGACACGCGCCGTCGTCCGGTTTCGGAGAGGATGGCGGGACGGATTGGCGATCCTCGTCCTGGCTCGCCAAGGGAAAGCTTGGGGTCTGTGTCCCGGACAGCGGACCAGCCCCGCCCGGACAAGGGCAAGGGGAAGTTGCACGAGGATGACGTGCGTCACCAGATCAACGCGGCTCACAACGAGCGCCTAAGGAACCAGACGGGCGCCGCCGCGGCCGATAGGGACCCCCAGGACGAGGTCATCGCCCAGCTGGAAAGGAGGCTGGCTCAGATGGAGGCCAAGCAGTCGGCCAACATCCCTACGGCCGGCGCCTTCAACGACCCCGGCCTCAACGCGTTCATGAACAAAGTTAGCGCCCTGGAGAGGGAGCTGGCCGAAGGGCGGGGTGACCCCATCATCCAGGTCAGGACGAGGACCCCTTTCACCAACAGGGTCCTCTCGGCCCCCATCCCTGAGAAGTACAGGGGGAACGCCATCAAGTCCTACGATGGCCGATCAGACCCCCAGGAGCACTTCAGCCGTTACCAGAACAACATGCTGATGGTGAACGCGTCCGACGAATACCTCTGCCGTTGGTTCCTCTCTACTCTCGAGGGGCCAGCGTACGAGTGGTTCAACGGGCTGCCAGAAGGAAGCATCGACTCATGGCAGGATCTCGCCCAGTGCTTCCTCACTCACTTTGCCGGGAGGAAGCGCGCGAAGAAGTATTTCACCCACCTCCTCTCCGTCAAGCAGCAGCACGAGGAGTCCCTCCGGTCATTCATCGATCGGTGGACGAGGGAGACCGAGGAGGTCGAGGGGGACGATGAGCGCACCCTCCTCGCCTTGTACCAGGGAGCCCTCCGCAGCTCCCCGTACGCTAGGAGCCTCATCACCGACCCCCCGAGGTCGTACGCCAAGGCGCTCCAGCGCGGAGGCTTGTATGCCGACGCCGACGAGCTCCACAATCACAAGAGAGAGGGGGGCCATCCCCCCAAGAAGACAAATCCTTCGCCGGCCCTGGTGGACAGAGTAAGAAAGACCGCCACTGGCGGCCGAGGCTGGAACGGCCGGGGGTAACCCTCACCCACCCGGTCGGCACCATCCTCGATTATGCCGAGAAGCACGGCCTCATCGAGCAGGCTCCTCGGCCGGCCGAGGAGATCCTTGCCATCCAGCAGGGCGGCACATACTGCCGGTTCCACAAGAACTCGTCGCACAACACCGACGATTGCATCACATTGAAGAAGGCCATCGAGCGCCTTATTCGCCAGGGGGAACTCTCCCAGTTTGTCAAAGGTGGCCCACGCAAGAACACTTGGGTAAACACCGGCAAACATGGGGGCGAACCCTCTGTGAAGAAGCGGGAGATTGGTAGACTCAGCGACGACGAGGACTGCGAAGAGCCTCCGCCGAAGAAGAATCACATCCACCTCATCGTAGGTGGAAACACTGGGGGGACTCCGCCACTCAGAGAAAGAAATGGGCCCAATCCCTTTACATTGGGGAGGTGTCCCACGTTCCCCCCCAGCCGAAGAAGCAGCGAACGGAGGCGATCACCTTCACCGACAAGGATCTGCCTCCGGGTACGGAATCACACAGGGACGCCCTCGTCATCCGATGTGAGATCGGTGACTCCATCATCCACCGTACTTACATCGATACGGGGAGCTCCGTCAACGTGATGTACCTGGCCACCTTCAAACAGCTGAAGCTGGACAGGGCTTTGCTGAAGCCGATCAAGACCCCGTTATCCGGCTTCACCGGGGACTCTATCGACGCCGAGGGCACGATAGTCCTCCCCGTGGAGGTCGGTGACGGCCCCCACCACGCCAGGATTGACATGGAGTTCATGGTGGTCAACCTCCAGTGCGCCCACAACCTGATTTTGGGGCGGCCAGCACTAGAGGACTTGGAGGCCATCATCTCCATGAAGCACCTATGTTTGAAGTTCCCCACCAATGACGGCATCGGCTACGCCAGAGGAAATCAGAGGATAGCCAGAGCTTGCTACCTCAAGCTAACGAGGCCGGCCGAAAGGGAAGGACAGAGGATAGACACCATTACGGCCGCCGTCGCCATGGACGGGGAGAGGCCACATGCGGAGCCGGCCGAGGAGGTCGAGGAAATCCCTCTGGATACCTCCCGGCCGGAGCGGGTTCTCAGGGTCGGAAAGCAACTCCCCCAGGACCAACGAGACGCCATCCTCCTCGTCCTACGGTCATACGCCGTTGTTTTCGCGTGGGGCCCGGACGATATGCCAGGCATCAGCCGCCAGGTGATCACTCACCGGCTGACCGTCGATCCGGCCTCCGCGCCTGTCAAACAGAAGCGGCGCTACTTGTCCGCCGACAGGCGGGACTTCGTCAAAGGGGAGGTCGCCATGCTCCTCTCAATCAAACACATCAAAGAGGTGAAGTACCCGACATGGTTGGCCAACGTCGTCCTCGCACAAAAACCGCCGACGTTCAGAATGTGTGTTGACTACACTGACCTGAACAAGGCGTGCCCCATGGACCCGTTCCCTCTCCCCAACATTGATCAGCTGGTGGACGAGACGGCGGGGTGCGAGTTGATGTCGTTCCTCGATGCTTTCAGAGGGTACCACCAAATCTCCATGCATGAAGATGACGCTGAGAAGACGGCATTCATGACCCCGGAGGGAATCTTTTGCTACCTCGTCATGGCCTTCGGACTCAAAAACTCCGGCGCCACCTACACTAGGATGGTGGCCAAGATCTTCAGAGCGGTCCTTGGCCGGACGATGGAGGCGTACGTCGACGACATGATCGTCAAGAGCAGGCAGGCCACCTCCCACGCCGACGACCTCCGGGAAATCTTTGAAATAATGAAGGAGTTCAGGCTCCGCCTCAACCCCAAGAAATGCGCCTTCGGCGTCCAGGGTGGCAAATTCCTCGGCTACATGGTCAGCCGGAGAGGCATCGAGATAAACCCGGAGAAGACGCAGGCTATCATCAACATGGAGCCGCCCCGCAACATCAAGGAAGTACAACGACTGACGGGGCGCCTGGCGGCCCTGAACCGTTTCCTCTCCAGGTCGGCCGAGAGGGCACTCCCCTTCT